CCTATATATGCATAACCTGTCTATATGCATAGAATTTTGCTGGCCCAACAGTATGCTTATATACAGGTTCAACTGTATTTTGATAAATGGACAAGTAGAAATAATACAATAGATAAATTTATTCAATAAATCCAATGACTATTATAAAATAATAGAATGATGTATTTAAACAAATAGCAAATTTAGCTAATGCGATAGTGATATTAAAGAAATTTGATAACTTTATGAATATTTTTAAATGAGGTAACGTATCATAAATATGTCAATCTTTATTTTTAAATTGAAAAAAAATACATTATTTAGATGTGAATTCACTTAAAACATCATATTTCAATCCTATTTTATGGAATTACACCTGAAACACCTATGATAATTTTAAATTATGCTAGGAGATTGGAATCAAAATTATATTATTTATTTAATTTAGCATATTATTTTGACAAAGATTTCAATTAGATAAGATTTTCATCCGGAAATAGTTTGGATTAAGTAAATTAATTAGTTCAAATCCAATTAATCCTAAAAAATGAAATATTTTTTGGAATATTACATATATAGCTCCAGAAGTGTTAGGAAAAAGTCACTAATATATATTCATAGCTTATGAATTACAACTCCACTCAATTATCAAACACATCCACAAGCGATTTATACCAGTCAAACTCTCAATTTTTCAAAATTTCCAAAACCCAAGAATGAAGAAAATTTTGAAAAGACTTGAATAAATAAATTTCACTTTTAAAGACATAAAATTTTAAATATTAAATGTCTAATACTGGAGTTTTATGTAACTTTTAAATGATAATATTTTGATAATCATTAATTGTTTTTCGTGTTATAATTATAATTGTTTTGACATTAGACTTTAAATGTAAATTATGTAAATTGTACATTTTATCAATTTACAAAATTATACATAGATCAATGGAAATCTGGGAAACAGCAAATATTAGACCCTTGCGATTTTCAAAATAAAAAAAAAAAAATTATGCTTAATTGAATTGGTGTTCATCATGTGCCTACGAACCATACATCGGATTTTAGAAAGAAAATAACCAATTATATATAAATGTTAATTATTAATTAATGTTCCGATGGATAGTATTTTTTTTTTTAGTTCTACTAACGTGTAACTTTTAATAAAGTTAATTCCAAATAGAGTTAATCAAGCTCAAATTATTTGTCTTTTCTGTCTAAAATAGTTTAATTATTCGTCACTATTCATCACTTATTTACTTGTACACCAATTAATTATTTATACCAATTAAATATTATACCAATTAAATAAATTCTCGAAATTATTCTTTTTTTTTTTCGTTCATGTTTACTATTTTTTACTTTCCTTTCTTTTTTCTTCATTTCCATATTCAATTCTGAATTTAGGAATTAGTCATTCTTTTACTATTTTAACGAAACGACTTGAAATTTTTTTTGTTATTGTTAAAATTATTGCTTACTGATAAGCGAAATATTTTTTGCTTTTATCATTCTTCTACTTTTTTCCCGACAATTATTAACCATTCCACATTCCATCCAAAAAAGAAAAAAAAAATTAATCGATTATCCATTTCGATAATTATATGCTTAAATCAATTACTCCCTTCTCCCCTTGAAACTTATCTTTTAATCAATTTTGGTCTTTTTTAACATTGAATGTATATATTATAACCTATTGAAACGAATCAATTATATATAAATTTTTCTTCAAAACAAAAAAAAATTTTTTATATTCTTATAAAATTATTAAAAAAAAAAATTATATATAGTTTATGTGCATATATATATATATTTTAAATTTTGCTTTGCAGGACAAAGGGACTTTATTAACAATTTTATCGCTAGTGTCATTAATTTGGTTGGTTAATATTCAAGTGGTTCATCCATTTTATCTAACAATTTTTTGAATAAAGAATTACATTAATTTGATATTCAAAGGAAACGAACCGAAACGAACTGGGAAAAAAGCAAGTCGAATCAAAGGATAAGTTAATAGAAACGATTTTAATAAACGATAACATAATAATTAGGAAACGGATTTAAAACGTATTAAATATAAAAAATACGAAATGAAACAACAACAAACAACAAATAAATCGGTTGAAGCAACTGATAATGCAGAAAGAACTTTTCATGTCGGTGTTAAACGTGGTGAAGGTAACTTTTTTAAATTACTTTATCAAAATTTTTCACGACTTAAAGTATTTTATTTTTCACATTTTTTTTTTTATAAATTTTATTTTGGAAATGTTTAGAATAGTATAATATTTAAAATATCAATTTATTTTTCCATTTTTATATTTTTTTTTTATATTTTTTTTATATTTTTTTTAAACAGTTGCCAATCGAATATTAACAGTAAATGATCACACGAGAGCTTTAACTATCTCAAAATTTCTGGATAAACATCCCAAACCATTCACTCTTGAACATGGTAGTTTCCTTACTATTACTGGTCGTTATAAAAAAGTTCCTGTTAGCATTATATCGATAATAATGGTAT